TTCCTCAGGCTTCAGCCAGAAGCTACCTGGAAACTTCCCGGAAGCTTCCTCAGGGTCTAGCACGTTTGGGCATTGGCAAGAGCAGCCTCCTGGACGAGCCAGCACTATATAAGATTGGCCCGCCCTACAGGCAGGAGGCAGTTGTAGTCTTCAGGATTCGGAAGCAGCACTCCGGAGGGAGCGCTGCAGAGTAGTAGTAGCGTTAGCTTGTAGTTTTCAGCGATAGGCACAGTAGGTAACTGTAGTCTCCTGCGCTGGGCGTCATAGCTAGATAGTACTAGAGAGAGAGAGAGATTGGGCGGAGGCCAGAGACACTTACCTGCAGCGCCGTTGCTCCAGCTTCGCCTTCAAGGTACCTGCAGCACAGTGCCAATACAACAGGTCAGTATCTGGCTCGTAATAGTGAGAGAGAGTTCTTCTTCCTCTTCTCAGTCCACCGTCTCCTTCTCCCCCTCTCAACATCTGACTTCACTGCATCTGCAGACTACGAGAGAAGAGAGACAGAGCTTAGTGACATCGGATCCAGACTCGACTTTTGGGACTTCAAACATGGCAACGAGGGATTATTTGGGATTGGTGACAAAGACTTGGTGTTGACGACATCCCCATCTCTCTCCCTCCTTTCGTCTGATTCCTTCCTCTTCGTCTGTGTATGCCTGGACCTGACGCTTTCTTCTTGTGTACAGCGTCAGGCTCCATCACACCTGGTGAGGGATACGATGTATGTTTGGTCTGAGTTCAAACATTGATTGGGCTAGTTATTAGCATTCTAGCATTCTGCTTCGTTACTTTGTACTACGTGAATGAGGTCAGTCCCGGTCAAGTCAGTCTTTGTATTTAAGTCTTCCCTGCGCTATTCAGCACCATTATGTATGTATGAGAATGCACATTGCTTGTCGAGATTCTATTCGCACCGCATTGTCCATTCAGTTCTTTTCATCACATTGCAGATCCTCGGTTATTATGTACATTGCGTATCTATGCACGTAACATTTCCCGTCCTCGTTTCTCTCATTATAATGAAATGGTACGTCTTTCAAAAAAAAAAAAAAAAAAAAAGAAGCAAATAGATGAAAGAAAGACGCTGACAAAGGCTGAAGTCTTTTTCTCTTTTCTAATTAAAAAAAAAAAAAAAAAAAAAAAAACCGTCACAATTCTTGACCTAAACGGCCTAAAAAGCAGCCTTTGGTCATCTCACCCAATCCCGGTGCCCTCAGTGCTCCTTAGATACAACAGCTCCTTGGGTGACTTGGGTGTCTTCAATGTTGAGGTTGTTGAGGTTGTTGAGGTTGTCCCCTTCAACGGTCTGCCTAGCCTCGACACCCAACTGAGGCTGGAGGGAGGTGGACTTGGAGACTAGTTGGATCCCCAGATCCATGTACCTTGCCATTTCAGGGCCTGATATTTCTGTATAGGTAGACTAGGAGGGACTGGTTACACATACAGAGTTCGACCAATTATGCCCATTCTTTATTATTGTTTTTTTCTTTTTTTTCTTTTTTCTTTCCTTTTAATGCTATTTCTGCTCTTACTGTTTGTGCATTTAGTGGAGAGGAGCCGCAAGTCCCTTTTCTGTTGTTGTCCCTCTGCACGATTCCCCTTCCTTCTCGCCACCTCTTTCATTCTTTTTAGGCTTTTCAGAGAACTCAGTCCTATTTCTGAGTTGAAGTTCACATCGTGCTAGTTCACATGTTGTGCTTCCCTTAGTTGCTTATGCAGGGTGGACTAAAGGGTATGTGACAGGTGAAATCTGTTTGTAACAATAGATAATAATCTATTACTTAGTCTCATCCAATCTGAACCAGGTGGAGGACCATATTGAATTACCATCTTCAGACTGTCACTGTTTGCCAACATGGTCATGAGGTGGCAGTGAATCTGCCGCCATTCTTCTTCTCTTCTAAGTTCAGGATATTTAGATCGCAGATTTCTCAAGATCCAGTCAGCCAGCTTGATGAGTTCTGAGTGTAAATCTTGTATACCATTTGAGGTGTTCTGTTCTCCGGCTGATTGAAAGAGTGGGATGAGTGGTGACACTGCCACCGGAGCTTCTTCCACCTCCATTGGTTGTGTTCCAAAAACATCCTTGAAATGATCAATCTCCATTGAGTCCATTGTTTCCATTGGGTCTTTTGCTTTGTCGAAGGCTGACTAAATTCCAATTCCTGGATCTTTTGGGACATCATCCATTTCTGTAGCCAGTAAGTTTATTTCTGTGATTTCTACTTCAGATGGGTTCGCCAAATCACAAATGTCCTCTGGCTGACGCTTCCGACCGAGGAGTTCAACGTGCATGCGAGCCGGTGGGTGATTAGCCCACGAGGCGGAAGAAACCTGAGTGGCGGGAACCCTCTGCGGGTGCACCGTCCGCCAACCACGATCTACTGTGAGAGGTTTGAGTGTGAGCATGCCCGTTGGGACCCGAAAGATGGTGAACTATGCCTGAGCAGGGCGAGGCCAGAGGAAACTCTGGTGGAGGCTCGCAGCGATACTGACGTGCAAATCGTTCGTCGGACTTGGGTATAAGGGCGAAAGACTAATCGAACCGTCTAGTAGCTGGTTCCCTCCGAAGTTTCCCTCAGGATAGCTGGAGCTGTTGAACAGTTTTATCGGGTAAAGCGAATGATTAGAGGCCTCGGGGGTGAAACACCCTCGACCTATTCTCAAACTTTAAATAGGTAAGATTTCGGGGTTGCTTAAGCGAACCCCGAGGATCAATGAAAGCTCCAAGTGGGCCATTTTTGGTAAGCAGAACTGGCGATGCGGGATGAACCGAAAGTCGAGCTACGGTGCCAAACTGCGTGCTAACCCAGACACCACAAAGGGTGACAGGTTAGGCTGTTGCTCATGGGAGCTCTTCCTTGCTACAACCTTCCTTCTAACTTCCTTTCATTCGGTCCGTATTTGATTTCTGTCTCTGGGCATGTAATTTGTCGGAGATAGACCTCCTGTCATATTTCTATCCTGACCTTGTCGTTGTTCAGCCTGCCGCATCTCTGCCTGTGTGCCACTTTTCGCCCTTTTCTCACTTATTCCTCCTCCATCTGCTTGCCCTTCCCCTTTTCCTTCACTTCCCATGTATCCTAACTAGATTCCATTACGATGCTGGCTCTTCTGGAGTGGATGGGGATTGTAGGGATGACTCCCCTTTCCAAGTCTGATTTGTTGTGCTTTTTGTTGCTTCTGTTGGATTTGATGAGACTGCGAATGAGGAAGCCAGTCCACCGTGGGCATGGGAGTTTTTCGTAAGTCCCCACGCCCTTCCCAACACCAGCCAATCGGCTGGCCTGCGTGGTTGAGATCTTCACTGTATACCCATCCTTCATAACCAGCCATTGTTGGGATCCACCTGTATGGCCTTTATGGATCCTTTTTGAGACGTTGCTCCGTTGGGAAGGCATGTTGCGGATGAAGTGGACAAGCAAATTTCATATTTAGATGTCCATACGCTTTACACTTGAAGCACCATGACCTAAACTTATGTGTCTTGTGAATCTGGTAAACTCTCCCTCCCATTTTGAATGGGATGATGTCATCAAGTGAAAAAGGTTGATCCTTTGGAAGGTCAATTGCTAACATGAGGTAACCATCCCGTTTGGCCACAAATGTGGGAAGGGGGTCAATGAAATCCACAATTTTGAACTGTTGTCCAAAATCGTGGACGAATGCTGCTTGTACTTCAATTGGTATATGCCTCATTTCAACCCAATAAAAAACCTTCATTAGTTGTTCTTTTTTTTCCTCCGGTCCCACCTTCCATGGATAAATCCTAACCTCAGATCTATCCCAGTAGAGTTTTTTCCATCCGTCCATCTGTTTTTTGTCCTGGTCAAACAGATAGAGTACATTAAAAACTGTGGGGGAGATTGGTTGAATCAGAAAGAATTCGGCAACTGCCTGAGGGCTATTCTTCATTGATTTTAGTCTTTTACATATCCATTTAATTTTGTCATTCATCGATTTGTAGGCACAGTTGTCGTAAAAAGTCCAATTACTTGCATGCTTCGTATGTACCTCGTCACGATGTGCCAGTTTTTTTGTTGAATATGATTTCATCAACGTTTTTCTCCCCCCCTGTTCTATCACCATCTGCTCTGACGGCGTAAGAAAAAGCGAGAGAAAGTACGCTCTAGCTGATGATAGGTTTCTTAGTGGAATCTTGAGATCATCAGCCGGGGTGCCCGGTGGACCAATAGATGGTCTGGGGATGGTGAGAGATTTGCCTTGCATCGTTTCTCTCACTTTTTGAGCCCATGATGGTTGAGGGGGCTTTGGTGTTGATGCTGTGTTAGCTACCTTTCCTACGGATTGAGTTTGTAATTTGTTGGAAGAGGAATCAAAATGTGTGATTTTCTGTTTCTCTGCTAATCTTTCTTCTTCCGTTTATACTTCATTCGTTTTTTCCTCCATTCTCTCTGATTCCTCTACATTCTTTGTTTCGTCCCCCGTCATTGTTTCCTCTTTCAGTTTCATTTCCTGATCCTCCTGATTCTTCTGTTGAGACGACCATTGCAATTGTACAGCTTCCTCTGAATTCAAGCATTGTGCGTTGGAGTCTAGTAACGTCCTTTGACCACAACTTTCCAATTGAGAGGAAGGACAGCTGTCATTTTCCTTCCCATGAATCTGCGGTACAACCTCCCCTGGTCTCACAATATTTCGTTCCTCTGTCTTGGAGTTAGTTAAAAGCTGATTTGACGCGTGATTTCTTACCTGTTTCCCTTTGAATGTTGTTGTGAACGCGCTAATCATTTTTTCCAGTGGGTTGGTAATTGGCCTTGCATAGGGCGATGGGCCCAGTTGTCTGAACATTGTGTGACGCATTGCCCCTTGATAAAAGAGCAGAGAATCCGATCCTTTCAGACGTTTAAAATTCATGTTCATTTGGAGATTGGCAATTATCTAGAACGAGGTGAATACTTAGATCTCTTTCCCCCTGAAGGAATAATGCAAACCGAGTGAATCGGCTATATACAGCTATACTTAAGACAAGATCATCATTCACCCAGGCTTCACCCAAGTTTCAAGAGCTGAGTGGAGTATTGAGAATCAGAATGTGAGGCGAAGTGAATTCTGAGAAAATCCCTCCTGTCTACGAATTAAAGTCAGCCTCAAATTTTAGGATGGAATGGGAACATCTGGCGCTGATCAGGGCTGACTCGCTCGGTTGAGATCAGATAATGAGGGATTGTCACCAGGCCTATCCAGGGGGATTAGTTGCTATCTCCGTCCACTAATTTTCCAACAAAAACCAATCAAAATTTTTTGAAAATTTCCCGCCTATCTTGTATTGATGATTTTTCCTTCAATTCGTACCCCCCATTTTTGTGTTGTTGTGATCTTACTTGTTGTATTATCATTCACAGGCTGCTAATCATGATGTTGGCTTTGATAATTCCTTCGAGGGTTGCGGCACTGTCATAATAATGGGGTGGAGAGGGTTAGGTTAATTATGATGTACTAACCTGATGAAACTCCTTTGTCTATATCACTGAAGAAGAGTGTCGCACAACAGTCTTCCCACGCTTACCCTCCCTCAGAGTCTGTAACCAATTCTGAAGACGGAACTATGATGTCCTATATCCAACGATGTGTGAAGCTCTCTGATTGCTGCACCATATCCACCACTTTCGCCTTGTCTTCAGGGATGCCCTCACAAAAGTTTACTAATGAGGACGGATGCTGCGCTCAACCACTTTAGCCCTTACCTCACCACATCATGGCTGGCTTCATATGATTTCACTGGTTTTGACAAACGCTGCACCCAACGTTACCATCACTTGAGCCAAATACATTACACTTGACTGTTTCCAATCTAAAACCGTACACACTGATTATAATGACCTACATGTAGTGGTGCCTGTAACCCTCAGATTGTTGTGCCTTTGCCACTATCTTCTTTGTGACTTCAGGCCTGCCTTCACAGGATTCCACTTTCCATGGCAACCGCTGCGTCCAACATCATCACTGCATTTAGCCAACGTGCCCTATGATGACCTACACCTTCCGATATATTGTAACCTTCCTATCATTGCGCCGTCACCACGCACTTCTGCTTCGACCACCGTCACCAACACTTGAGTCATCTGCTATTCCAATTCTCATAGGGTTAGCAACAACTAGAATTACTATGCGAACTACACAATGAAAACGGCGCCCATCCTTCTTACCTTTGCGCCGTCACCACGCACTTCTGCTTCGATCATCATCACCACTACATTGAGACATCTGCTATTGCCATTCTCATAAGGCAAACAACTATGGAATTACAATGTGAAATACATAACGAACACGGCGAGGAACAACTCACTATCTTGCCATGTACCCGTCTGTGACTTCCACCTGTTGATGTTAGTAAACCTCAGTTTGTTTGTTGTGCCATCACCACACACTTCTGTTTGACTTCGGGGTTGACTTCACAGAATTCCACTGGCGATGACGAGAGCTACAGCCACCATCACTACCACTTGAGTCACCTGCTAATCCAATTCGCATAAGATTAGCGACTGTGGAATTACTATGTGAAACATACGACGAAAAAATGTGAGAAAGAACTCACAATCTTGCCATGTGTCGGGCGGACTTTCCACGTCAGCGTGTGACGTGGATCCTCCCAGCACCTCTAGTCAACGCATGCCCGTGCGTTAAGCGCCTCTCAAATCCCAGCCATTTACTTGGAATATCTCCCTCAAGACCAGGAAGTTGAGATTAGCAAACAGAGAAAGCCAATCCGAATCAAAATTTACCGCACGGTGTTATGATTAGCAACCATAGGGTTTTTGAAAAAATACTGCATATCAGAAATCAAGAAAAAAATCAAGACCATAAGATCAATGATAAGGAAAACTACTGAGTGACAAAATTTACGAGAACTATACGAAATTTAGGTTTAGATATCCATAAAGGATTTTCGAATCAGATTCCCAAACCACGGTTTGAGAAACATTTAGCAAAGATGTATGACACAGAAAAGTTTAAGAAATTGTTTTCAAGAAACCATATTATCAGAAGGAACCACCAACAGAAAACTGAATCAGATAATCAGCCCAAGGGGTATGCAGGTGACCGTGCCTTATGTAAACGCCCGCCGGTGTCTCTGCACAGAGGCGCGGACTTTTTTGAACCCACAACCTCATAGGCCACTTGCAGTTCTTTGTTTTTCTTCTTAAAGTTTTTGTTTATAGAATAGCTTTACTGTTTCTTTCGGTTTTCAAATTCTAACTGTTTTTTTTTTTTTTTTTTTTTTCCATTAAGAGAAACCAACTGGGTCGATGTTGGAGGTGCTGGTAAGAGCAGACACCCCTAGCATTCCTGGGGAGGCTCCATGTATTGGTGGGGATCAGCACCTGCTGGAAAGCGGGTCCAGCCTCCCTGGACATTGGAAATGTTCGTTGTTCTATTTGGCCGAGTTGCCCAACTTGCTTATTAAGAGAACTGGACACAGAGCTAACCTCCCATTTTCGTACCCCACCCTTTAGAACCAAGCACAGTGAAGCGCTGCAACTCCTGATGAAAGAGTGATCTAGTGACCCTGTGGCCATCACCGAACTTTCCAGCAGTAGTTATTTGCTCTCCTCATTGTCTCTTTTTTTAAGGTTTTTTTTTTTCAAATAAAAAAAATATTGAAGGCGGTCTCTTTGCTCTCCTCATTGTCTCAGAGCTTTTCGCAGAGTTATTGCTCGACTCATTTTTCCCATTGTTTTTTTTTTTTTTTTCTGTAGATTGTGATAGGCTATTTCTTACCAGTTTTGATTCCCACACTTTTTTTTTGTTTTTTTGAACCGGGCGCAGTGCCCAAGGCTGATATATACCTTA